AGCCATTGATCAATAACAAGAAACAACAATCAACAATAATCAAGAGAGAATCAAAGAGAAAGCATCAAACCTCAAGTTTGAGCATTTCAAGCCTATTTTTCGTTCAATATTAATTTTTCTTTCAAGAACACTACTTGTACTCAATTGTATTCATTTTTTAGTGTTCTTCTCTTTGTTCTAGAATTGTGCAAACAATTTACCTTGTGAGGATTTCCTTATAAGTTTGTAAATTTGTAATCTTCTCTTTGAGAAAGAGTGTTCTCAAAATTGGGGTATATTCTTGAGGGAGTTGTAATGTTATCTCTTTGGCCTCAAAAGAAAGAACAAATTAGTTAATTTGTTAGAAAATCCTTAGTGTGGATAGCTAAGGTAGTGGACATAGACTTTGATTGAGAAAGTCGAACCACTCTAAATCGTTGTGCAATTACTTGCAATTTTCTACAAAAGCTTCCACCAAAATTTTAATTGTCAATTCACCCCCTCTTGGTCGATTCCGTCGATCGATTAACTCAACAATTGGCATCAGAGTCTCACTCATTTGAAGGTTTAATCGCCTCTTGAGTCATTTTGGGAAGCGTTACATCGATTGTCAAGTCATCAATGGCCTCTACTTCAAATGTCGACTCCGGTCTCGATTCAATGCCCGTCAACAAGCTTCCTTTCTTCAATGGAGCTAACTATGCCTATTGGAAGAATAGGATGATGTATTTCAATCAAGTAAGTGACATGGGAGCATGAAATGTTGTAGAAGACGGATATATCAAGCCTCTTACTCATCCAATATTGTGGAGTGAAGGAGAGACAAGAATGTTCCAGCTCAACTCCAAAGCAATCCATATCATATTTTGTGCTCTTGGACCAGATGAATATGGAAGAGTTTCATCTTGTACAACCGCCAAAGAAATATGGGATAAATTACAAGTCAGTCATGAAGGCACCGACGAGGTAAAAGAATCTAAAATTAGTCTTCTAACACATAGCTATGAAAATTTCAGGATGAAACCAAATGAATATATCAAAGCTATGACGGATAGATTCTCAACGATTGTTAATGGTCTCAAATCATATGGAGAGATCATTCCAAACGAAAAGCTTGTGAGGAAGTTAGTTTACTCACTTCCAAAATCATGGCAATCCAAGAAGACGGTAATCATCGAGGCTAAGAACCTAAAGTCCTTAACTCTTGAAGAGCTAATCGGTTCCCTCCTCACTCGTGAAATGATGCTTGAAGATGAGGTGGACCTCGATAAGATTGATGAGACACCAAAGGAGAATGAGAAGAATAAAAACATTGGAGTTTCTCTCAAATCCACAAAAGATTAGAGTGACTCGGATGAAGATGACGATGACGAGAAAATAGCATTGTTTGCCAAACGGTTCAGAAAAATGATGAGAACTTACCGAGGAAGAAAATTCAAACGAAATGAAGGCCTCAAAAATGAACCAAAAGAGAAGGACCCTATCATTTGATATGAATGCAAAAAGCCGGGGAATGTCAAATATGATTGCCCATAATTGAAAAGAAAGGGTCAATCAAAAATTAAGCACAAGGCTCATGTGGCTACATGGAGCGATGAAGAAGGTTCCGATGAAGAGGAACAAGAAGTAGCTAACTTGTGTCTAATGACCATCGGGGGAAATTCTCAAGTAACTTCTAACTCATTTGATTCAGATGAATTATCTTATGATGAGTTATTAGAGGATTATAATGGTTTGGCTTTGGATTATAAGACTCTATTTTCAAAATATAAAAATGATGTTTCAAAATTGAAAAATGAAAATAGTCTTATGTCCAAAACCAACAATGAGCTTGAAAGTAAGATTAAAGAATTACAAATCAAAATTGATGATTTTGAAAAGAAAAATATTAATGATTTGCATAACTTACACTACAGCAAAATAGAGTTTTAGCGGCGTTTTTTTAGTCTTATAGCGGCGTTTTTAAGCGCCGCTAAAAGTATTTGCGACGATAGGAAAAACGCCGCAAGAAGCGCAGGCAATACCAGCGCCGCTAAAGTTAGCGGCGTTTGAGAACAAAAAACACCGCAATAGGTCAATATCTATTACGACATTTTTTGAACAAACGCCGTAAAAGGTCGATATCTATATCGGCGTTTTTGGAATAAACGCCGCAAAAAGTTATGATATATAGCGGCGTTTCTAAAAAAACGCCGCAAAAGATCAGATCTATAGTGGCGTTTTTGGATAAAAACGCCACAAAAGAGAAGACATATACTGGCATTTTTAGAACAAACGCCGCAAAAGGTCAGACCTATAGCGGCGTTTTTGGACACAAACGCCGCAAAAGGTCAGACCTATAACGGCGTTTATGAACTCAAACGCCGCAAAAAGTCAGATCTATATCGGCGTTTTTGGATACAAACGTCGCTAATTACCTTTCTTTAGCTAATATTAATTGATTTTGCATATTTCATTTATGCTATACATCACCTAAATTTATATCTAGCTTTATCTAATTAACAACAACCATACATTTTAATTAAGACAAAAAACATAAAGAAAAATACTTAACAACAAAATAAATTAAAGTTTTTTTATGGAGAGAGGACCTTAAAAGACATTAAAGTACAAATGAGTTATAATTGAACCTCAAAGTGTAGATATACATGGATTTATTGTTCGATACATCCTCAATTTCACTAGCGTCATCATCATAACCTCCAGATATGCCTTCTAAAGCTACTTTGTTTCCCACTTCATTGGAATTTGTCATATTCATCGTCTTGACATCTTATTTAAAAGTATCATTTGACAGTGAATGATCTTTCCTCAATAGATTAAAAACAAATGGGAAACGCTGTGCCAGTCTATTGAAGAAGCCGCTTTTTGTTGAAGTTTGTTCTTCAAGATTACTGCAATTACAATAATTTAGATGAGACTAAGAAGAGAAGGAAACAACCAGCAGAACTTGCATTCATAACATACATGTGAATGATTCAGAACTGAAAAAAGATGTTGCAACAAACAACAAAAACAGGAAGTCAGGAACCATGAAAACTAAAGTAGAATCATGATGTACTTAATAAAACTTTCACATTTCGTTGAGTATGAAGGGTTTTTTTAATGAGGTCTCCCATTTCTAAAAAAAACAATTAAAAAGAAAATCAACGTACTTGTTTAGCATGGCGGTAATATTGTTCCTTGCGTGACAAAAGAGATCGATGTTATCCTGTAACTGTTTATAAAAGCTTTAATCAATAAGCCAACCTCAGAATACTGTAAGTGTTAACAAGAATCATACATGATAAGGCAATCACATACAAGATTCGAAGAGCACTTTGCAAAAGAAGAATAAATAGAATCCATAACACTTCCTTTGAAAGATGAGTTCCACTTACAACAATACACAATGAAGAGCACGAATGCAGAAGTACATTTATATGCCACCTTATATCAGTTTGCAAATGAAGCTAAAAGTTTTGGACAACAATGCTAGATCCAAAAAAATTTTATCTTTAATAATTTCATCAGTGATGATTCTCATAGTCTCACTCTAAATCCATCAACACTAATCAATTAATAAAGGAATCATTATCACCTAAGTTAACCTCCTGAACTTTACTGCAAACACTTACATAACTTGCAGACTAAACATTAAAAAGTAGCATAAACAAGAAGGCATAGAATTCATCACAATAACACCTATCAATTACTGCATGGTTGCATATGATGATCAAAGAAAGGTTATGAACCAGGGAATGATACCTTGTATGCAGAAAGATTGGATATGATTTGGCTAAGAGTTCGAGCATTTTGCTTCAAAATATGCATAATTGTACCGTATATTCCTAAGAACATACGACAAACAAGCAGATTAAACAACTAAACAATACAGCAGGCATAATTTGCAGATTAAACATTAAAACCTCGCGAGTAACTACAATAGGTTTTCCATTAAGTAAAACCTCACATAAACTAAAAAGAGAAGGGAAGAATAACATATAAAATTAAGGAAATAAATAAATAAATAGAATTAGTTTGATAATTTCAAGGAAAATGGACACATGGTGTCTAAAGCCCAAATTAGAAGAAATTTACTTTAACAACACAAATAGACAAAGTTGGGCGTATAAAACAATCAGAGTATAATTTATATATGCAAAGAACAGTCTAATAAACTCTTTAGCTTTACTGTTAAATGCCACAGGTGTTTAGGTTGTGCTATTATTTCGCAGATATTCACTGAGTAGCGACTAGACTGAAGCCAGCTGCTAGAATCATTCTTTGACCTCATAAAAGAAAGATCAATCTCTATTGTAGAGTATAACTTTTACATTGCTGTTAAGTTTTCAAAGTTTTCAAAGCCAGATATTACAGGAAGTCAAAAACAGCTTCATGGTTTCAAAACTTTATAAAACTCCAAACTCAGAGAATTATGATGTACAACTCCAGTCACAATTGAATGATGAGTAAGCAAGAGAGAGTTCAACATGAATACACTTTATAAAATGATCTTAAGGAACAGTTCCATATTAATTAGTTCTACATGAAGATTAAGACCCTTTAGTTAGATGGATCACTTGACAATTATGCGTCCAAACTTGAACCTAAATTGTAGGCACTTTACCTGTGATAAATCTAATTTTGAATATAATTTCAGGAATTGAGCTTGCAAATGCACTACTTGTACAGAATTAAAGAAATTGAAATATCAATTGCTTTAATGTTAAATTTGTGGACCTTGGATTTCAAAGTAATCATTACTTCAATAAACCCCAATTCTATAGACATCATAAAATTTTCAACGATAATTTTATTCACTCGGCTAAAATGTAAGAAAGCATCTCAATTTCACAGTTCACGACACCATCACCTAATAACAAATAAGTGATTTCTTAACTTTCCAATCATAGGCAAACGACAACAAATTTAGCCAAAATTAGTTATGGTAAGCATAATCCTAAGTAAACAAGTGTAGTAAACAGAGTCAACGGATTAAACCTGAGTAAACTCATGTAGTATGTCTCTATCACTTCATTTGACTTGTGCAAGTCCAAACCCGAACAAGACGACCTGACCCCCCCGACTCCATGGCCGCCCCAATTCCACTCCATTCTGGTCATGAACAACAGTGTTATTCACGAAGTGATCGACCTCTGGTACGATTGGCCCAACGGAAGAAACTTCAACATCATCCAGCACCAGCTAGGGAATGTCCTCCACGATCTCGAGTGGAACAACGGGACTTCCTTCTTTTACACCCTCGATTCCTTTAAAACCTGCAGCAGCGTTCAGTTCGAGGTTGGGATTTTACGCCCCGACTGGCTCGACGGAGCTACGTACTTGGGTCAGCGAGAGGCGGACGAGTTCGTTTGCAATGTGTGGGAGAAAGCGGATTTCATCACGTATTTTGAGGATGTGGTCACTAAGAGACCCGTTCTCTGGATCTTCTACACCGGCGAGTCTAACTGATTTCGATTCAGTTCAATTTTAATCTGATGAATGAAGGTGAAAATTGAAAGTGTAGGGAGGGAGACGCATGTGATGACATTTGAGGCGGGAACAGTTCTTGATGATTCCAAGTGGCAAGCCCCCATATACTGCTTTCACATCACCACCAAAACCACCACCCACAGATTGCTGGGTGGAGTTCTCAAAGGTTTCAAAAAAAGGTTAAAGGGCGCGACACTTAAAATTTGTAAACTTGCGGCGTTTGTAAACACAAACGCCACTATAGTACAAGTGTATAACGGCGTTTGAATAAAAATGCCACTAAAGTACGCGTCTTTAGTGGAGTTTGTATAAAAATGCCACTAAAGTATGAGTCTTTAGCGGCGTTTGTATAAAAACGCCACTAAAGTACAATTCTATAGCGGCGTTTGTATAGAAATGCCACTAAATTACGAGTCTTTAGCGGCGTTTGTATAAAAACGCCACTAAAGTACTACTCTTTTGCGGCGTTTGTTGAAAAAACGCCACTATCGATGAACCTATTGCGGCGTTTTTATAAAAACGCTGCTAAAGTTACCATTTGTGGCGTTTGCTATGTAAACGCCGCTATATGTTTAAAATTAGTGGCGTTTACTCCTAAAACGCCGCTAACATCGCCGATGTAGAACAATTTTGTTGTAGTGTTACTTTCAAAAGTTCATGATGATCATCAAAAAAAAAAGAAATTGATGATCTTAAAGCTTCTCGTAATAAAGTTGGATCAAAACATTTTGAAAAAGGTGAAAATTCAAAATCCAACTTTGTTAGAAAAAGTTTTAGAAACTACAATCATAGAGATCCTCAACGAACTTTGAATGGTAAAATCGTTAGGAGTATATGGGTTCCTAAAGAACTCATTACTACTAAAGATAAAGATATCCTTCATAAATGGATACCAAAGGGGACAAGGATTTTAGAAACTAATGAATATGGACCCAAAAGAATTTGGGTACAAAAAATTAGAAATTAATCTATGTTTGTAGGAAAAGGAGCATTTTTACAAGACACGGGAAACAAATCCAAACTCATGGTACCTTGATAGTGGATGCTCAAGACACATGACCGGAGACAAAAGCCGGTTCATTGAGCTTAATGCCAAAAATGGAGGAGAAGACTTTTGGTGATAATTCAAAAGGTCACATTGAAGGTATAGGTACTATAGGTAATACCTCTTCCATACAAATTAAGAATGTTTTATATGTGAATGGATTAAAGCATAATCTATTAAGTATTAGTCAATTATACGATAAGGGATTCAATGTCATGTTTGAAACTAATGGTTGTAAAGTTATTGACATTGCATCTAATCGGATTATGCTTATTGGTCATAGAATAGGAAACATATACATGGTGTATTTAGACTCTATAGATATGACTAATTTATGTCTAGTTGCTAAGTATGAGCATGATAGTTGGTTATGTCATAGGAGACTAGGACATGCTAGTATGAGTGTTTTGTAACGGCTAATTCAAGGAAATTTAGTTCGAGGGTTGCCTAAGCTTAAATTTGATAATGATAAAATCGGTGATGCTTGTGCTAAAGTAAAACAAAAGCAAATTTCTTTTAAATCCATTAATGATGTATCAACTAGTAGAGTATTACAATTGATCCATATAGATCTTTTTGGGCCAACTAGAACTACTAGCTTGGGTGGAAAACAATATGCATTTGTCTTGGTAGATGACTATTCTAGATATACTTGGGTTCTATTCTTAATTACTAAAGATTAAGCATTAGAAAAATTCATCACGTTTTCAAAAGTAATCCAAAACGGAAAAAAGTTACTCTATAACTAGTGTTAGGAGTGATCATGGCACTGAATTTGAAAATCTTGGATTTATTGAATTTTGTAATTCTAATGGTATTAGTCATAATTTTTCAGCACCTAGAACCCCTCAACAAAATGGAGTTGTTGAGAGGAAAAATCGAACTTTAGAAGAAATGGCTAGAACCATGCTCTGTGAAAACAATTTGCCAAAATATTTTTGGGCGGAAGCCACAAATACCGCTTGTTATGTTGTAAATAGAATAATGATTAGGCTAATCTTAAAGAAAACTCCATATGAAATTTTCAAAAATAAAAAGCCTAACATTAGCTATTTTCATCCTTTTGGATGTAAATGTCTTGTTTTAAACAACGGTAAAGACAATCTTGACAAATTTGATGCTAAAAGTGATGAAGGAATTTTTCTGGGTTATTCCTTAAATTCTAAAGCTTATCGAGTATTTAATAAAAGAACTTTAGTTGTAGAAGAGTCTATACATATTGTTTTCGATGATAATCCCTTCCGATGAAGGATTCTTGTTTGAATGATGATGTAGGTATTATAAATATAAATGACGTTGGACATGACGTTGGAGAACCATCATCAAAGGAAGAAACGAAAGATGAGGAAACTCAAGATCCTCTCGAGAATCCAACCATTGAAGAAAGGGAAGTATCTTACCCAAGAGAGTACAACTATGTCAAGGATGGTGAGATTATAGGTGATCCATCAAAAGGGGTAACAACTTGATCTTCTCTTAGAAATATTTGTGATTATGTTGCATTTATCTCATGCATAGAGCCTAAGAATATTAAAGAATCATTAAAATATGAACATTGGATTATGGCTATACAAGAAGAGTTAAATCAATTTGAGAGAAGTAAAGTATGGACATTAGTTGAAAGGCCTAGTAATAAATCTATTGTAGGTACTAGATGGGTGTTTAGGAATAAGCTTGATGAAAGTGGTAATATAGTGAGAAACAAGGCTAGACTTGTTGGTCAAGGCTATTCTCAAGAAGAGGGCATAGATTATGATGAAACATACGCTCCTGTAGCTAGGATGGAAGCAATTAGAATATTATTAGCATTTGTATGTTTCAATGAATTTAAATTATATCAAATGGATGTTAAAAGTGCATTTTTAAATGGTTTTATAAAAGAAGAAGTGTATGTGGAACAAACTCCAGGTTTTGAAGATTCAAATTTTCGGATCATGTTTTCAAATTGACAAAAGCTCTTTATGGTTTAAAACAAGCTCCTGGAGCTTGGAATGAAAGATTGTCAAATTTTTTAATAGAAAAAGGTTTTTCAAAAGGGAAGGTTGACACTACATTGTTTTTAAAGAGAAAATGTAAAGATTTATTAGTAGTTCAAATTTATGTTGATGATACAATATTTGGTTCTACTAATGATGTTCTTTGCCAAGAATTTTCTAAGCTAATGCAAGGTGAGTTCGAGATGAGCATGATGGGGGAGCTTTCATATTTCTTGGGACTCCAAATTAAACAAAGAAAAGATGACATCTTCATCAATCAAGCTAAGTACGTCAAGGATATGCTTAAGAAGTTTGGATTGGAAAATGGGAAACCTCATGCCACTCCAATGAGTTCTTCTACAAAGCTTGACATAGATGAAGGAGGTAAATGTGTGGATGTTAAATTATATAGATCCATGATTGGCTCATTGCTTTATCTAACCGCAAGTAGACCGAACATTATGTTTAGTGTTTGCTTATGTGTTAGATTTCAATCATGCCCTAAAGAATCACATTTACTAGCTGTTAAGAGAATCTTTAGATACCTTAAGGACACTCCTAGTTTAGGACTTTGGTATCCTAGAGACTCTAGCTTTAGCTTTAATGCCTTTTCTGATACGGATTATGGAGGATGCAAATTAGATAGGAAAAGCACCTCCGGTACTTGCCAATTCCTTGGAAATATGCTGATTTCTTGGTTTTCAAAGAAATAAAATTGTGTCGCATTATCTACCACTGAAGCGGAATATATTTCAGCCGGTAGTTGTTGTGCACAAGTTTTATGGATGAAACAACAACTTTTTTATTATGGAATTGAAGTAGGTACCATTCCTATCAAGTGTGACAATTCTAGTGCTATTTGTCTCACTAAAAATCTCATCCAATACTCTAGAACTAAGCACATTGAAATAAGACATCACTTCATTAGAGACCATGTCTCTAAGGAAGATGTAGTTCTAGAATTTGTTGATACTTTGCATCAATTAGCGGATATCTTTACAAAACCTTTAGACAAAGAAAGATTTTGGACACTTAGGAGAGAATTAGGTTTAACTAACATATCTTCACTTAGTGTTTAAAATGATTTTAGCATTTTTAAGAATAAAATGAAAAATGCATATAATGATAATTTTTTATTGCATTCATTGTTATAAGTTAGGGCGAGTTTATGTTCTTTAGAGAAAATTAATTTTATGTTCAAATGAAGCTTAAGGATTAATTTGATTGATTGAACATGATTAATTTTCAATATATGAGTTTCCAATACCACTAGAGCTAATTAATTTAGCTTTTTGAGTGTTTAAAACAGATTTTTGTCATTTATGTGCTTAATGCATCGATGCACTTAACAGTGCATCGATGCATCCCTTTGAATGTACATCGATTCATCATGTTGATGCACCGATGCACGCCTTATATGTGCATCGATGCATCCGTCGGGATTTAGGTTTAAAAGGCTTTTTTCTCATTTGGTTCAAAACCTAAAAACTAAACCTCTCTAGCCGATCGTCCCTCTCATTCTCTAAATCCTCCTTTTGCTCAAAATCAACGAAATTTTGTCGGAATCTTCAAGCTTTTCAACTCCTAATCCTGCTTTTATCATCAAATTGTGCAAAACAACATCACATTCCCTCAAATCCGAAAATTTTCAAGGTAATATTTCAAAAACTTTATTTCATTGATTTTTGATCTTAGGACTAGTTTAGATTAGTTCTAGGATGAACATTATATCGGGAATTGATTGTTTGATGATTATAAACTAGATTTTACAACCAATTTCATCAAAAACTCACAAATTTTCAATAAATTTTTGAATTTTCGAAATTAAAAAAAAATCAAAAAATTGTTTTTAGTTTTCAAATTTGATGTTGTCATCGTGAAAAACTATACATATTATAATTTTCAAACGTTGTTTTCTAAATAGTTTTTCAAAAACTATGCCCATTAGAATTTTATTTAGAGAACTTTGAATT